CAAATGCATTTAAAGCCCAACATTACGTACGATTAAAGGGATAAATTAGTCTAGTATTAAGAGCCATTTTCGATTTTGAGTAACCCTAGTGCCGCTTCTCTCCCAAATAGCAAAACTTCTTCTCCTAGCTAGATCCAGCGCCGCTCCATCTCAGTGAGGGGGAGGGGGTCTTGCTAGCCTTTCGAGGATTCTCTCTCAAAGCATTTGGAATCCCCATCTTGCTTAGTCCGTAGCTCTCTCTTTTGAGGGCTGGTGATGTGTTCGAGCTTTACCTGCTCATGCCTCCTTCCTTGTTTGCATCCCCAAATCTTCACCATACCTTTCCCCTCAGAGATGTCCTTTGGCTATCCCTCGATAGGTTGTTGTTATCTTCTAGGTGCGTCGATTTCGAATCTGGTGGAGCTGGGGTCCCTCACTCTTCCATCTCGACCTAGTTGTGTCTCTTGGATACTGCGGCTAATCCGAAACGCGATCTCTTGCATAAATATTGGAAGTTGTGTAGAGCCATGGCAGTGCTATGACTTGGGTGCTTGCACCACCTCCTTCCTATTTCATGGTTCCGGTTCTCTCGGCTTTCAACGGATTTGAGTGGTTTCGGTTATGGTGGTGGATATGTGGCTAACAAGTTTATATGTTGTTTCTTGTTCAATTAGGCATTTTGTTGTTTTATTTCAATTTGTGTTGTAATTTTTTTTTTTCCAAACAAAAGAGAGATTTATTAAAGACGAATAGAAAGGTTTACATCACTAGCAAGAATATCAAAAGTCCACTCAGGCCACACTTGGTCCCATACGTGGTTACCTCCAACTTTGGAGACATAGGCCGCAACCTGGTGCGCTGCCTTATTACATTGTCGGGGAGTATCCATAAAAACCACATGCTGCAAAAGGCCAGCAAGTCTCTTAATATCAAATATAATGGCCTCCACAGAAACATCAATTGATCTTTCACCCTTCAACATTTGCGTGAGGAGCCGCGAGTCGAACTCCACTTCCACATGCATCAGCTGAGTCTTCACACAGGTAAGTAAAGCTTCTCTGATAGCTTCCGCTTCCATAACCAAAGTCATGCTACCTTGTAAACCACCCATACCGCAAGCAAGAAACATCCAACCGCAATCATCTCGGATTACCCACCCAACGCCACCCTTTTGCATATGCTTCAACCATGCGCCATCACAGTTAGCTTTCACCCAGCCTTGTGCGGGTTTAGTCCACGTCCAGTTAGATCGGTTATGTTGCTCAGGTGGTCTTGGCAACTCATTAATCAAAGGTTTTGTTGACATCTAGGCAGCCCTGTACTCCTACATTTGAGAGTGAAATTTGTCCACACAGTCCCCAGGATCCCAAATGCACCCATAAAAAACAGCACTATTCCTACTCTTCCATAGCCGCCACAACCCAAAAACAACGCAATGAAGTATTTCATTACAATGCTCCACCCTACCATACTTCCTTAATACGCTATCCCAACGTGCGTGGAAATTCGCTCCTTCAATTTGTGCAACATCAAGCTGCAGAGAATTGGCAAACCAAAACAATCTAGCATACTCGCATCTGAAAAAAAAATATGCACATGGGATTCCCCTTCCTGACCACATAGAGAACACGTATTGTCCACATCCACGCGTCGGCACTGTAAATTTTATTTCACAGCCAATGCATTCCGGCAGCCCCTCCACAAAAAAGCTCGCCGTTTCGGAGGCGTTGGCAGCCTTCAGATGCTCTTCTGTGTTGTAATTTTTAACTTATGTTTGTTTGTTGGTATCACCATCTAGGACAATCTTAGTGTTCTTGTTCATGTGATATCACAGATTAGTTGTTCTATTGTGCTTCCTTACTGGGTTGTTTGTTTTGTAATTCTGTGATGTCCTCGTTTTTGGTGAGGTTCTTATTTTATTAAATATCAACTTTCGACAAAAAAAAAAATTGGTCTAGCATTAATTCCAATTATATTGGGCATTAATTCTACAAAATAAATATGTACGTAAGCTTTTATACAAATTCTAGTAGTATCCATGCCATGCCAAAAACCTGTTCCTTTAAATTCGATATGTCACTAAGCTCTATCACAAAAGCCCAAGCCATTATATGTAGGGTTAATACATTTTTCTTATGCCAATCACCTACCAAGCTCACATGAACCCAAGTCATGTGGTTCACGGGGCTTGCATGAGGGGATGTGGTGTGAAAGGTTATGGAGGTCCATAAGGCCCACAGAAGTTCTTAGATAATGGAGACTTTGGGCTAGCTACTTGGGAGCACCAAAGTCCAAGCTCATTACTTGAAGTTCTCCAATATATGTGAGCAAATGAGATATTCTTCAAGCATTCCCTATTACCCGTTGGAAACAAGCCAATTCCGACACTTCTTTTTACCCATAGGAAATAGTCATTTTCCAATGTCTAGCTTTACCTAAGAATGTCCCTATACTCCCTTTTACCCATTGGAAATAGGCTAGTTCCAACATTTCCTTTTACCTATTGGAAACCAAAGAGAGCCCTCACCTTCCATAAATTGGAAGGCATTGCCCAGGCAAAAACCAACTTCAATTGGCTGCTGCAAGCATCCCAACAACCATCACACCCCTTCCTTTGGTTGTTGCAAGCATTCTAGCAACCATCGACCCATTCTCTTAACTGCTGCAAGCATCCCAATAGCCATCACAACCACGTCTTCTACTTTCTCATCCTTGGGATCTTTCATTTTCTCTATAAAGCCTCACCTTAAGCATAAGCCCAAGCTACTCCTTCATCCTCCTACCTCTAGAACTCATAAATCTCTCTATAATCATAGCCACAAACATCATAGCTTTCAAAGCCCCAAGATTTTCTTTCCTCACCCATGTTCTTTTAAACCCCCTTCCTTTGGCTGATACAAGCATCCCAACAACCATCATAGCCAAACAATGAAATCGCCATAGCCAAAGCCTCAAATAATAATACCCTCATTCCCAAAATCAAGCATATCCACCACCAAGCCAAGCACAAGCATTCTCATTTGTTAAACTTGTGGGTCTTTAGCTCTCACACTCCAAACTCTCATGCTAGACTCATACAATCTTTGTTCAACATTAGCAAATCATCTTCACCCATTTTTAAAGTTGTCAGAAACATCAACACAAAACACGCATTCGTTGGAAGAACAACGGAGTACTCCCCTATGACTTGCTTCTCCTTCGGGATGCTTTGGACCTAATTCTCGCTAAATCAGAAAAATGGGCAACGAAGGCTTGATTCATTATTGTATGGCTATCCAAGAATCAACAAGCTTGACCAAGCCTTCTGACAGAAAAATACTCCAACAATACTAAGTCGGATTAGATTATTCTCAGATCGGATCAACTTAATCCATATCCGGAGACATTCATAATCGGATTATGGGATTCATATTGTAATCGGGTTATTGGATTGAGAAGTCCAATTCATCTCCTATTAATTACATCGGATTTGGATTAAAATCCGATCCATTGATAGGTATACTTGTAATTAGGGTTAGGTATTAAGTATGCTACATCTTTTCTAGCCTTAATGATGTTTCCCTCATATACCATCAAAGTTCTCACCGATATTTTACACTTGTAAGCTTTGATTGATTTGCGGAAAAAAAAATTAATGGGAAATCATTTCTCGTGCCATTTCCTAAGGGATGAGAAATGGAAGAAATAGAAATAATAAAGTCGTATTTACCATGTTTGCTAATGCTGGGGAAGTAACTGGGAAATACCACTGTTATTTCTTTTCTCATGTTTGGTTTGTGTAGGTATGTAAAACAAACTTTGTTTAATTTTTCAATTATACTCATGTTAGAAATATGAACTAAAGAAAATAACAAAATGAATGCATTTAATGGTATATTGTAATTCTAAATTGTTATTGGAGTCAAAATAGTCATGAAAAATGTGCATTTAATGCTAGCATTAATTTCCTATAAGAATGGAAAATGAAACCCAATGGGGAAATATTTTTGCTCACCACTTTTAACCCAAGGTGTACCCTTACCATTATTCTTAACATTTGACATATGTCCATTGACGTAACAATAGTTAACTCTTTGCAATGTGCATTTAATGCTAGCATTAATTTCCTATAAGAATGGAAAATGAAACCCAATGGGGAAATATTTTTGCTCACCACTTTAACCCAAGGTGTACCCTTACCATTATTCTTAACATTTGACATATGTCCATTGACGTAACAATAGTTAACTCTTTGCTTTGTATTTATGGAACTATGATTATATCAATAGACATGTGTCAAATATTGAGAAGGGTGGTGAGGGTACACCTTGATTAAAATGGTGAGCAAAAATGCTCCCACCTTGGTTAAAATGGTAGCTACGACAACGCTTCTTTAGATGGTGATGGTAGGGTTCGTTTAGGTTCATGAGTTGCTTTAGGGTTTCAGTTATGTTGGGTATGTGAACTTTGTTTGGACTTATGATTAATTGTGGTGATGTGGTCTAGTAGTTTTAATGCGGCTTTTGTCCGCTTTAGTTTTGTTTTTAACATGTTAGTTTGTTGCCCTATGGGGATTGATACTTTCGATGTCTTGTTGATCTCTTTAATTATGCTCTTGAAGTTTATCTAATAAAATTTATATTTAATAAATAAATAAATAAACCATTGATCAAATAAAATAATACTTGAATGTACAATACGTATTTATTGTCTCGTAAGCCAAATTCACATTTATTTTCCCGAGATCACACGACACTAATTAGCAATTAATATTGTGAGGTAATACAAAAACGTCCCGTTCTTGTGCACAGTGCACTGCAAATATTATTGCACATAAATTAATTACAGATGTCAAAATGAATAGGTCATCAAGTGAATTGGTGGATGTTCTTTTTCCAGACGTTAAACATTAACGCGTGAAAGTAATAATATTAGTTGTTATTTTCATATTTTGGTTGGATTATTATTATTTTTATTAATTGGGTAGAAAATAAACAAAGCAAAAGTCGAAATGGAAAAAAGGGAAATGGAGGTGCACGGCAGAGCAGAATCCGCATAGTACTCTCTGGCGGGTCTTTTGAAGACGACGTGGACTTCGCTTCTCTCTCCTCCTCCATTACTATAAACTCGCCCAAGTGAACAACAACGTAGCTCAAAGAAAATCCTCTAAACACATTCATATTCATACAATTCACACTCATCATATTCATCCATATACACATTACACGTGGGACAGCCACACACTTCTCATTTTTCTGATCAATTTAATCTCCACCCAACACTCCGGCCGGTGAAGCTCTCCGGTGCATCTCTCTCTCTCTCTCTCTCGTCGTCTTCTTCTTCTTCTTCTTCTTCTTCTTTAAGAAATGAAAACTATTTGTTGTCTGTAAATGTGTGGCTTCTTTTTTCTTTCTTGGGTTTCTTTCAATTCATTGCATGATTGTAATAAATGGTGCTTTTCCTTTCCTTTTTTCCTCGTTCTGATAGAGTTTTTGACTGTTCAATGCTAATGAAATCGTGGGTTTTCAAGGGTTCTTAAATTGGATTCATGTATGTGAGAATAAGGAAAGAATTGTATTGTTCATGCTCTGTTTGGTTGCGAGGAAAATGCATGCAGGAGAGAAGAAAAAAGCAGGAGAGTTTTTGAACGAGAAAACTTTATTCAACTGAGCCAAATACAACCATCTTGTTCAGTTTAGCAGGCCAAACTATCTCGATATTCTTTTTTTCACTGGCAAATAGAAAAACCACAACAATTGAAAAATAGGCCTTTTCCATGTTTGCCAAATCCTTTATTTTCTTGCATACCAGACACAGATTGTGTGGCCTGCTAGTTTGTGATTTGCCCATCAACCCAATTAATGTTTCAAAAAATAGTCTCTTCAAGTTGTCTTTTTAAGGAATATATTGGATTTTTTTTATATCAGAAATGGAGAGCTTCAAAGCTCCATTCAGGGGAATTGCAAAAGATGTCAAAGGAAGAGCATTGTGCTATAAACAAGATTGGACTGCAGGTTTTCGTTCAGGAATCGGGTAACTGATTTCCTATGCATTTTACTTGGCACAATTGCAATCAAAGGTGTTGGATTTAATTCACTCTTTTAATCTTTCTTTTTTTGTCTTTGAATTGTGCTAGGATTTTGGCCCCAACTGCCTACATCTTCTTTGCTTCAGCTCTTCCTGTTATAGCTTTTGGCGAGCAACTGAGCAGAGATACAGGTTTGTCAACATTTCTCATATGATGTGTAGATGGCATATCATAAATCCTACCTCCTATGGCATATATCTTACTGAAAAACAGAGTCTGAGTTGGAGCACAATGAACTGGATGCTCCTATTCTCCATCATTTATGTATGTGACTGACCATATGTCAACATGCATAATACAGACACATACACTTTTGATGGTTTTCAACTCACTTGGCTTTTTATTGTGTAGATGGAAGCTTGAGCACAGTGGAAACCCTGGCCTCTACTGCTATTTGTGGTATAATACACTCAATTCTAGGTGGGCAACCTCTCTTGATTTTAGGAGTTGCAGAACCCACTGTCATCATGTACACCTACTTGTACGACTTTGCGAAAGGAAGGAAAGATTTGGGACGCGAGCTGTATTTGGCTTGGGTTGGATGGTAATGGAAAAATCAACCTTTTATAGTTTCAGAACTTTAAGATACATGTTCTTAGTCGTAACGCAAGGCGACATAAATTTTCACCTTATGGAGCTGAATTTTACAGGGTTTGCGTCTGGACAGCTCTTTTTCTAGTTCTTCTTGCAATATTCAATGCTTGTGATATAATCAACAAGTTCACAAGGATTGCAGGCGAACTTTTTGGCATGTTGATTTCTGTCTTGTTTATTCAAGAGGCTATCAAGGTAAGTCTCACATAGAACATAAGATCATTTTGGATCTAATACAGCTGATGGAAAGAAAACTAACATGAGGTTCACGTTTCAATGGAAGGGTATAGTGAGTGAGTTCAAAATTCCCAAAGGTGAAGATTCAAAGAAAGAGACACATCAATTTCAGTGGCTTTACACAAATGGACTGCTGGGGGTCATATTTACTTTTGGCCTCCTATATACTGCTCTGAAGAGCAGAAAAGCAAGGTCATGGTGGTATACAACAGGTTTGTTAAGAACATTTTGAGAGACTTGGTTCTTATTTTAAGGATTAAATTTTTTTTTTGGGGGGGAATTTGAAGATATTTTCTTTGTTGTCCAGGGTGGCTCAGAAGTTTCATTGCAGATTATGGTGTTCCTTTAATGGTACTACTGTGGACTGCGCTGTCATTCAGTGTACCACGCAATGTTCCCTCAGATATTCCCAGAAGGCTGTATAGCCCTCTGGCTTGGGAGTCTGCATCTTTACACCATTGGACTGTCATGAAGGTAAACTAATATTTTGTAATTTTGTTGTTTAAGCTCTTTGTTTACCTGAGCTTTCGACCTAAGACTTAATGTAGTAATCAAGTCTTTGCAGTTGTTTTTGTAATTGCTTGCAGTTTAAAGTATTTTCTTTCATTTTCTGTTGAAGGATATGGGGAAGGTTCCGACTGCATACGTCTTTGCTGCTATTATACCTGCTGTGATGGTAGCGGGACTTTACTTTTTTGACCATAGTGTCGCTTCACAGCTGGCACAACAACAGGAGTTCAATCTAAAGAAGCCTTCTGCATACCATTATGATATGTTGTTGCTGGGACTTATGGTATGTGTCACAACCATATTAAGATCAATGAAGGTTTGTTTCTGTCACATTCAAGCAAGAATTAATACTTTTTCTCTTTCACGAAAAATTGGTCCCAGACACTGCTTTGTGGATTGATTGGGCTTCCTCCTTCTAACGGGGTCCTGCCACAGTCACCGATGCACACTAAGAGCCTTGCTGTTCTTAAGAGGCAGGTGAGTGTAGTGAATGAATGTCAATGAAAATTCTCAACTTTCTTGCTAGCCATCCAGCTAAATTAGACACTTAATTCATCTAATCTATATGCAGTTGATTCGAAAGAAAATGGTGAAGAGTGCTAAGGAAAGCATAAAACAGAAAGCTAGCAACTCTGAAATCTATGGAAAAATGCAAGCTGTGTTCATAGAGATGGACGACTCGACTACAGTAAATTTCTCAATTTGAACATGCTTTTATTGAAAATATCCAACAAGTTAGCATTACATTGGCAATTGATATCTATCTATAGATGCATGCGTATACACTTCGCACCTCCCTTAATTCTATGAAAATTAAAGAACTTTGAGTGTAACTGGTAATGTTAGTTGGGGAAACAAAAAGAGATAAGAAAGATCTCCTTTCAAGTCCTTCCTGAGACCTGAATGGTTTCTATCGCAGCCTACATCACAAGTTAAAGAGCTGGAAGATTTGAAGGAGGCAGTTATGAAAAGTGAAAATAAAGGGGATAATGCAAGGGATGCATTTGATCCTGAGAAGCACATTGATGATTACCTGCCTGTCCGAGTTAAAGAGCAGAGAGTGAGCAATCTGTTACAGTCACTTCTTGTGGCAGCATCAGTTTTTGCTATGCCAGCCATCAAGAAGATACCAAAATCAGTTCTGTGGGGATATTTTGCTTACATGGCCATTGACAGTCTTCCAGGGAACCAATTCTGGGAAAGGCTGTTACTTCTCTTCATCACCCCTAGCCGGCGGTACAAGTAAGTAAATCTTCTTCTTAAGTAAGCAGCATGATGGTCCATTAACATTTTGGATCACAGTTTGGACACAATATTAACATTATTATTTCAGCATATGAGAACAAAACTCTTCTTTTGTAAGGGAACTTGGAGTCAATAAATGAAATTAAATCCAGAAACATTTGGACCTTAAAAGGGGTGGAGTTTACATTCATAAGTTGCCCACTAGGCCCCATGTTTAACAAAATGAACATCCTGAATGTTTCAGGATTTCCCAACTCTTTACAATTGTTACCAATATTTCCAATGTGTCAAATATTTGTGAGTTTTACTTCCCACTCTATTACTAATTCGGTCGTGATCATGTTGGCAGGGTCTTGGAAGGTGGTCATGCTTCCTTTGTGGAGTCGGTGCCATTCAAATACATAGCCATATTTACACTCTTCCAGCTTTTATACTTCTTGGTCTGTTTCGGGGTGACATGGATCCCTGTAGCTGGCATTTTGTTCCCCTTGCCATTCTTCCTTCTCATAATAATAAGACAGCATCTCCTCCCCAAATTCTTTCAACCACATCACTTGCAGGAAATGGACTCAGCTGAATGGGAGGAAGTCGCTGGTGCCCCAAAACGTTCTCTCAGCATTCCCAGGGTATGCAATATCTACTGTCTTCCAATATTTTTCTTCCACATTTTGTCAATATGAACAAGTTTTATGATCATCATCCTTATTATACCTTTGTCCCATCAATCTGAACAAATGTAATTCTATTCATTAGGAGTTAGAAACTTCTAACGAAGAGGATGGAATGGAGATGTGTGATGCTGAGATATTAGACGAGTTAACAACCAGCAGAGGGGAGCTGAAGATCAAAGCCAGCTTCAGTGAAGAGAGACGTGGTCAGGTAGATTATCAATAACTTTTCTTCCTAAAACTTATTGACTTGAGGACTAGGCCTAGTGGATCTCAAATCAATTTCAGTGTAATGGTTCATATCATATCTAAACGAAAATGGTAGTACAAATTTCATCTATGTATTAATTTGAATGAGTGAAGGGAAGGTGATGTGCTCATATTATATGTGCTGTCTCTTTGTGCTTTTGCAGATTTACCCTGAAAAAATTGGCCAAAAAGAGTGAAAGATGAGTCTGATCGGCGATGAAAGGAACGAGACATGAAAATAATGTAGGCATGAGATTTGAGGATTGAGTAGCATACCAGTAACAGAAGAGTAGGCGTAGGCTGAACCAAATTGTCACTGTTAGTGTTTTTTTTTTTGGTCTGAGTCACTGTTAGTGTTTGTGTGTAGGTTAAAGATAGAAAAGAAGATGTACTGCAGGTTAGTTATTGTTCAGGTTAATTTGAATTGGTTGCTATCACATTCACATATTATAACCAATTCAACATGCATGGGGATGGAGTTTGATGGTTTGCAGCCAATTTCCATGTATAAAATAGTTCAAACACCTTAAATAGCACTTGAGATTTTTTCTCAAGTTTAATTTTTGTACACATCTTTTTGTTACCAGTATTGGAGCGACTTTTTGGGTCAAATAGGTTGAAAAATATTCTCCAATGTAGAAGTTCAACAGAAACACAATATCAACCATTCAAGTGGGGATAAAATGATCAACATACCAAGAGAGTAACTCCTATACAAAAAAGAAAAAACAAGTGCTCATCCCTCCTATATAAGTGGTAGATGTAAGTTAGGTCAATTGGCCACGACCTTTACATCAAAGTTCAATTCCCCCTCCTATTAATTACAAATTTAATTGCCAAACTGCAAATGATTGGAAACAATATCAAGATGTAAACCCCAACCAAAAATCCTATTAAGGAGTAAACACACAAAGCAATCAAAACCAAGACCTTATTGGTTCTGTTTTCTTGACCAAAGGCCATTCATTCACGTAGAAATAAAGAGTTAAGAGAATAATAATTCCATCCATCCAACCTTAAAATGAAAAAAATGAACCAAGGTGGTTGGTGTGAGTGGTTCGGCACTCTCATTCCTTAAGAGAGGTCAGGGGTTTGATCCTTGCTCTCGTATGGAGTCACCACTTTGGCCAGCACTTTACCCCTTACGGGCCGATCCGGTGTGATCGGGGATTAGTCTGGGTTGTGGTTAAGACTTAAAGGTGCCACCCATAATTGGAGCCCATCCAGAACCACCTCGTGGTTCATACCAAAAAAACAAAAAAAAAGAAGCCCAACGAACGACAATAGAATTTTAGGAAACGACAAATATTACGTTACTCTTTCCTTTTTTTTCTTTTATAAATATTTCTTTATCTAAAAATTGCAAATTGCAAGTGTGCAACAAGGTACTTGACTTATCCTTACCGCCCTCAGCCTCTCTTGTTCTCGCTCTCCCTTGCTCGTTTCTCTCTATCTCTGGCTCCCACGTCGTAGCACAAACAAACGGGTAAGTAAAGTCTCTATCTTTTACAGGGTTTTGCTTTAAATTTCAATTTTTGCATTGCTTTCAGCCAGAACCACCTCGTGGTTCATACCAAAAAAACAAAAAAAAAGAAGCCCAACGAACGACAATAGAATTTTAGGAAACGACAAATATTACGTTACTCTTTCCTTTTTTTTCTTTTATAAATATTTCTTTATCTAAAAATTGCAAATTGCAAGTGTGCAACAAGGTACTTGACTTATCCTTACCGCCCTAAGCCTCTCTTGTTCTCGCTCTCCCTTGCTCGTTTCTCTCTATCTCTGGCTCCCACGTCGTAGCACAAACAAACGGGTAAGTAAAGTCTCTATCTTTTACAGGGTTTTGCTTTAAATTTCAATTTTTGCATTGCTTTCAGCCCTAAAACTCATCACCCCATCTCAACCACAGACAGCATGTTCGATTATGATATCTGGGTTTCTGTGTAAATTGCGTTTGGATTTGGTGCTTTGGTGGGTTTTTCTGATTTTCAATTTATGTGGGTTTACAAGGAATGTCCTAGGTTGTTTAACCCTCGATAGAATATGCAAGTCCTTTGCCGGAATTGCTTCATAAAAGAGCTTCTCATCATTTTAATACTTTCAAGCTAACTGCAAATTGTGTTCATTGGTTGTGGCGATGACTGGGGTTGGAACCACTGCAAAACAATTTGAGAACTTGTTGATAAAATTGTTATTCAATTTCGGTGATGACTGTTTTGAACCCCAAAAGTTTACAGCCACTAAAATCCTTTTGCTAAAATCGAATTAAGGGATAAGACTTAGCCTTTTAACTTACTTAGTTGTTTTGGGAATTGAAGGGTCAGTAAGTTCTCTCCTCCACCATTCTGCATTAGGGTTTTTTTTTCTTCTTTTCAAAATACTCACTTTCTCTATCTGCAACCTGAAATACTCTAATGTACCTTAAAACAAAAGGCAAAAACAAAAAAAAAAGTGTTTGTTACAGTATTTAATTTTGTTTTCTTTTTATTTACAGAGAGCTAGTTTGGAAATTGAGCCATGGCATCCCAGATAATTAGAGAATGGGCTGGAATAAATAGCTTCGCACCTGCCACCCAGACTAAGTTGCTTGAATTGCTGGGAAAACTGAAGCAAGAGGTTCCTTTTTCTTTGCTATGTTAATTACATACTTTATTCTTATTTTATAATTCAATGTTTTATTTTGTTGTAATTCTATTTTAACTTTGTTTATCCTTGTGTGGTGTGGGTGTAGAATGTGAACAGTTTGACCATTCTTGTGATGGGGGAAGGTGGAGTTGGATAATCTTCCACTGTCAATTCACTCATTGGTGAGGGCTGTTTCTATAAGTCCTTTTCAGGTGTGCTCTTGCACTCGTTTTTAGTCTGATTTGAGCGGTTTCTTCACCTTGCCTTTGTAAATACACTTGGAATGTTTTTTTTATTGTTTTTGTCTAGTCTGAAGGAACAAGAGCTGTGATGGGATCTGATGCTCAATGAATGGTTGGGATTGGTACTAAAACACAACCTTTTATTTGGTCATTTCTTGATCCATCCCACCAACTGAAGAACCCATTTCTTTTCTTCCCCAAATCAGTCTACTTCTGAGTGGTGATTCTCAATTGGCTCGCACCAGTTCGTTTTTGGAAAATTCCAAAAAAAATCCGTTTGACAAAACAAAGGAGTATGTTGGAAAATAGGAAAAGCAAATCCTATTTTCGCACAAGAATATTGATCCATCCCACCAACTGAAGAACCCATTTCTTTTCTTCCCCAAATCAGTCTACTTCTGAGTGGTGATTCTCAATTGGCTCGCACCAGTTCGTTTTTGGAAAATTCCAAAAAAAATCCGTTTGACAAAACAAAGGAGTATGTTGGAAAATAGGAAAAGCAAATCCAATTTTCGCCCAAGAATAAAGCAAAAGAGTGGGAATTATGAAGCAATAGTGAAAACAAGGAAAGACCCACTGAGGGAAGGCAAAGCAAGATGCTTCTTGGCGAAAACAGTTTGGCTTTTCAAGCCCAAATCCCAGCCATTCATTGAATCTAGCGGCTATTATTAGAAAACCGCACTTACTCCACTAGTTTTTTTTTGTTTTTGTTTTTGTTTTAATTTTTTAATTTATTATTAATATTTTTTTTAACATGGGAGATCTTTTGACATTATGAAGAAATATATCACTAAATTAAAATATTAATTAGAAATTGTTAGGAGTATTTATCCGATGTATCTTCTAAGTTCAATTTTCCCCCCTCCCTCAATATAGCTTGTATTTAAATAATTAAAAAAAAAACTAAATGTAATTGGTACTTACTCACTAGTTTGTACTTCATGATGCGAGAAATTATATAATACGGCTGTACCATGTCAGTTGATGCATCTTCCACTCAAATGTGACAACATATCCATTTTGAAAAGAAACTATTCTTTTTTTACATATGGATTTCATTTTTATCCATCAATTCATTGATCTAATCATATATATTTCTTGAGTTTTTCTACTTAAATCCCGCACTTCTCTTTGTTCCCCCCATATTTTAAGTTCATCTCAACTTCTAATTCAAATTTTCACAATTTCTAAGAAAACCTCACTTTCTTTCCAAACTATCCTTAGATACACACCCAACAATAAAATTAAAATAAAAAACTCATCAACCTCACACCCCTCACCCTACACCCCACACCCCTCCTTATCTTGTCCCTCATCGCTCTAAGTTCACTTTAACCTCACATTACTTAAAGAGATAAAAACAATGTTGTCAAATGTGTAGTATCATTATTTTTTTTTAAAAAGTTGAGAATCAACTCGGAAGAAGGATGGATAAATACCCTACTGGAGATGGTATTAGTAGATACATGAATAAAAGGCAATCAGAGCATCAGGGACGAATGCAGCTAATGGGCTGTATGGGCTATAGCCCATGCCAAAAAAATTTTGATTTTTAAATGTGATGTAGTCTTAGCCCAAAAAAATATATATCTATAGCTAAATAGAAGGGATAGTCCACTTCGTACCTGCATTCACAGTAAACAGAGTCAAAACTACTTGAGTGTGACAGAAAGCATCAATTCATGAGGGTGAAAACACAAAGAAGCCAAGACATTTCTTGGTGGTCTCATTATAGTTCTATCAAAAGTTTGATTTATTTATTTGGTGCAACCAAGACACTTCTTGATGAAATAAGTCGTAATGGACTTACATCACAATTTCGTGGGGAAGCTGAGAGTATTTATATTGCCATGATGTCGTTTGCATTTGTTTTTTCCTTATTTTTGTTGTAAAAAACTATGGGATTGCATGTTTATTTAGTGATTTCAACTCTTTCAAGCCTAGAAGGGTGCAACTCAAATAGTTGTATTATGTATTTGCACTGCATGTTTATTCTATATTGTCTTTTTTTATTAGTTTATATCTTATGTACTATATGCATTTTGAGGGTATGGCTCAATATGTCCCCTTGATTAGGTATATAATTTTTGTTATCAATGAAATTCACTCATACCGTCGAGTTTGTTTATAAGGGAAATCCAGCCCAGTGTATTTCGAAATCCTGGATTCGTCCCTGCAGAGCATCTTACTACTTCAAAAAATCAAAACTATATGTCAATTTGATCCACCTAACAAATATTTCTACTATCTAATTTGATATTTATACAATAGAATTTCATATTCCAATTCTAAATTTCAAAATGGGAAAATAGGGTGGTGGTCATACTTTACTAGTTTTTATTTTTTATTTTAATAAATTCCAAACATCGAAGGGTCTCAATATCTTTTGATAAAACAAACTTCTCTTCAATAATCTTTGCTAAAATAAAGGTGTAGACACTGTAAAGGAATTTGCGTTTTTCTAGAACTTAATATGAATAGTGGTGGGGTGTTTGTGGGGTGTTTGTGGGGTGTGTTTATGGATGTACTAGATTTAGGGTTAAGTATTAAGTTGGATAACCTTTTTTTATTTATAATCTTTTTACACAATAATAAAACTTAAGAGCTTAATGATTTAAATATTTGGATAAACAAAGAAAAGTGTGGGGTAAAATAGAAAAACTTTTTTTCTTCACTTTGTTAGTAAATATCTCAAATTCAAAAAACACAAAAGACGATGCCACTTCAAAATAAAGCAAGTTTTCAATGCACCAATTTTGGCAACCCAAAACATCAGTAATCTCGAAGATATAAAGGAACCTGTCCATCAAAACTGAAATTTTTTTGAAATTTGAAAGTCAATCCCAATTTAATGGACACATAAATCATGTGATGCAAGAACCTATGTTTTTTCTCAGCCTTTTCTACCGATTATTCTCTGCGGTCCAAAACGAATTCTCAAACCTAAAACCGGTCTATTACTTCTAATTTGCCATTTAAACTTGCCAGCTTGCAGCTCTATAAATAAAAATTTACCCGTATAGCCTGCCAGCTATACTCTATAAATAGAAATTATAATTATAGCTGCACCGCCAGACCTTTTAAATAGAATAATTGTCAAGTGGTGGTGCATCATGCATGCCATATGATCATAATCTTCTTCCTATTTTTTCCTTCTGTCATGAAAGTGAATTTTAATACATTTGAAAGAGAAGTTTAGGTAATTCCCAGAAGAGGTAGCAATTGGCTGACCCTTTTTTTGTTTTTTTCTTTTTGTGCATTGCATGGCAACCATAAACCCAAGGAAAAATGGAAATTTTTTATTGTGGGACGAGTTTTGGTAATTCCATCTAAATCTTCAGATAACGACAATGGAGTTCACGAATCAACAGAAGCTAGTGGGAATATGACAATACAAGGAAGGCCAACTTATAAAATGGAAAAAAATTATTGCCAAAAAATCTCTAAATCAAGGGAAATTGACTTATTGGATTGTCGTAGGATTAATTAGGATTAATTCGTTTGTTTGTTCACTCTTGTACTCAGGTAGATCGCTAGAAACAGAGTTCGTTTGGATTCATTGGTTGTTTTAGGATTTCGGTTATGTTGGGTATATGCTGACTTTGTTTGGGCTTATGGTTAATTGTGGTGATGTGAGTTAGTAGTTTTAGTGCGGCTTTTGTCCACTTTAGTTTTGTTTTTAACATGTTAGTTTGTTGCCTTTTGGAGATTGATACTTTAGATGTCTGGTTGATATATTTGATTGTGCTGTTGAAGTTTATCTAATGAAATTTATATTTGATAAATAATAAATAAAAAACCATTGATCAAATAAAATAATACTTGAATGTACAACAAGTATTCCTTGTCTCACAAGCCAAATTCACATCTATATTCCCGAGATCACACACACTAATTAGCAATTAATATTGTGAGATTAAAATGAATAGGCATCAACTGAATTAATAATATTAGTTGTTATTTTCATATTTGGTTGGATTGGATTATTATTATTAATTGGGTAGAAAATAAACAAAGCAAAAGTTGAAATGGAAAAAATGGAAATGGAGGTGCACAGCAGAGCAGGATCCGCATAGAACTCTCTATCGGGTCTTTTGAAGACGACGTGGACTTCGCTTCTCTCTCCTCCTCCATTACTATAAACTCGCCCAAGTGAACAACAACGCTAAAAACACAACGCAGCTCAAAGAAAACCCTCTAAACACATTCATATATTCATATTCATACAATTTACACTCATCATATTCATGTTGTGAAAAATGGACAAACACTTTCACTAGAATTTATAGAGGTTCAGCAATTGCCTACATCCTCTTGGTGATCCCCTTGAGAAATTCACTTCATGAAAGAATAAGTTACAACTTTGGTTTTACACAGAAAAACCCCCTTAGAACTCTATTCTCTCCCCAAGCTCTCTTTTCTCTCACACCCTTTGCTCAACACTTTGATGCACTTGTGAAACACTCTCACAACCCTTGGTGTTTCCCCCTTTGGTGTCTAGACTCTCAAGACCCTAACTCAGCTCCTAACTTGAACTGATTGCTCTCCCTCACGTTCTCCCTTGGTGAGTTAACCTCCTTTGAACACAATAGCTCCCAGCTACTTGACCACCTTGAGATTAACCACATCAAGAAGCTAATTGATGATTACCTGCCTGTCCGAGTTAAAGAGCAGAGAGTGAGCAATCTGTTACAGTCTCTTCTTGTGGCAGCATCTGTTTTTGCTATGCCAGCCATCAATAAGATACCAAAATCAGTTCTGTGGGGATACTTTACTTACATGGCCATTGACAGTCTTCCAGGGAACCAATTCTGGGAAAGGCTGTTACTTCTCTTCATCACCCCTAGCCGGCGGTACAAGTAAGTAAATCTTCTTCTTAAGTAAGCAGCATGATGGTCCATTAACATTTTGGATCACAGTTTGGACACAATATTAACATTATTATTTCAGCATATGAGAACAAAACTCTTCTTTTGTAAGGGAACTTGGAGTCAATAAATGAAATTAAATCCAGAAACATTTGGACCTTAAAAGGGGTGGAGTTTACATTCATAAGTTGCCCACTAGGCCCTATGTTTAACAAAATGAACATACTGAATGTTTCAGGATTTCCTAACTCTTTACAATTTTTACCAATATTTCCAATGTGTGAAATATTTGTGAGTTTAACTTCCAACTCATATTACTAATTCGGTTGTGATCATTTTGGCAGGGTCTTGGAAGGTGGTCATGCTTCCTTTGTGGAGTCGGTGCCATTCAGATACATAGCCATATTTACACTCTTCCAGCTTGTATACTTCTTGGTCTGTTTTGGGGTGACATGGATACCTGTAGCCGGCATTTTGTTCCCCTTGCCATTCTTCCTTCTCATAATAATAAGACAGCATCTCCTCCCCAAATTCTTTCAACCATATCACTTGCAGGAAATGGACTCAGCTGAATGGGAGGAAGTCGCTGGTGCCCCAAAACGTTCTCTCAGCATTCCCAGGGTATGCAATATCTACTGTCTTCCAATATTTATCTTCCACATTTTGTCAATATGAACAAGTTTTATGATCATCATCCTTATTATACCTTTGTCCCATCAATCTGAACAAATGTAATTCTATTCATTAGGAGTTAGAAACTTCTAACGAAGATGATGGAATGGAGATGTGTGATGCTGAGATATTAGACGAGTTAACAACCAGCAGAGGGGAGCTGAAGATCAAAGCCAGCTTCAGTGAAGAGAGACGTGGTCAGGTAGATTATCAATAACTTTTCATCCTAAAACGTATTGACTTGAGGACTAGGCCTAGTGGATCTCAAAGCAATTTTAGTGTAATGGTTCATATCATATATATCTAAACGAAAATGGTAGTACAAATTTCATCTATGTATTAATTTGAATGAGTGCAGGGAAGGAGATGTGCTCATATCATATGTGCTGTCTCTTTGTGCTTTTGCAGATTTACCTTGGAAAAATTGGCGAAATAGAGTGAAAGATGAGTCAGATCGGCCATGAAAGGAACGAGATATGAAGATAATGTAGACATGAGATTTGAGGATTGAGTAGCATACCAGTAAAAGAAGAGTAGGCGTAGGCTGAACCAAAGTGTCATTGTTAAGTGTTTTTTTTTTTTTTTTTTTTGGGG